GTCCCATGTCCTTAGGGAATGACTTAGCGGACAAGGCTACAAAGCTGGTGGCCGCTGCCTTGTCTACCCATGCACAAGCAGCAAAAGAATTCCATAAGCGCTTTCATGTGACGGCTGAGACCTTGCGCCGTCGTTTTGCTCTATCCAGGAAAGAGGCTAGGGAAATTGTTACTCAATGCCAGAATTGCTGCGAATTCTTACCTACTCCCCACATGGGAATAAACCCACGTGGCATTAGACCATTGCAGATGTGGCAGATGGATGTTACTCATATTCCCTCTTTTGGAAGGCTTCAATATGTTCATGTTTCTGTTGACACCTGTTCTGGCGTAATGTTTGCCACACCCCTAACAGGGGAAAAGGCCTCATATGTGATTCAACATTGCCTTGAGGCCTGGAGTGCTTGGGGAAAACCCAGAATTTTAAAAACAGACAATGGACCAGCATATACCTCTCAAAAATTCCGACAGTTTTGTCGGCAAATGGATGTTACCCATCTAACTGGCCTACCTTATAACCCTCAAGGACAGGGCATTGTGGAACGTGCCCATCGTACACTCAAATCATATCTGATTAAACAAAAGGGGAGTATTGAGGATGTTCTACCCTCGGTACCAAGAGTTGCTGTATCCATGGCACTTTTTACCCTTAATTTCTTGAACTGTGATGCCCAAGGCCACACTGCGGCTGATCGCCACAGTTTAGAGCCTGATAGGCCAAAAGAAATGGTAAAATGGAAAGATGTCTTGACTGATCTCTGGAAAGGCCCGGATCCTATTCTTATAAGATCCAGGGGAGCTGTGTGTGTTTTTCCACAGGAGGAAGAAAACCCCCTGTGGATCCCTGAAAGACTCACTCGAAGAGCTCCTTCACAACTCCAGAATAAGAAGGATGGAGGCCAAGTGGGTGATGAAGACTCTCCTACTCGGGATGATGGTTCCTAGTATGATGGGAGAGTTACGGTGGGCCATCATGTCTACCTTCCCCTACCGATGCCAGTGATGCAGAATGCCCAGGTGTTCCCTAGATTTTTCACAAATAATAGAGAGTTGGGGCTTGCCTTTTTGCCTTTAGATCCTCAGATACAGAGTTTTCAGGATGAGAGAACCTTGTCATTAGTAGGAAGCTTGTGCTTTACTGTGATTTCTTCATTAAAGGATAATTTTATTCATATGGATCCAGAAAGATCTAATGCTAATCCTTTTGAATTAATGGAAGCTGTACTGATCTTTCTCCTATGATAGTGAGAAGGGACAGATTACTTTTGATTGGAAAGGGGCATTAGGCAACAGTCTGAGTGAGGGACAGAGCTCTGGATCATCTGATTGGTCCTCCTCCAATGTTAAGTATACCCCTTTTAAGAGAACTAATTATTCAGCTGCCCTTTATTTGGGTTGTGAGTAATGATACCTTAGGTAAGAATCAGAAAGAAATAAATTGTTCTGCTTAGAATTGTTTTTATGCATTATGCTGGGATGCTATTAAGCACCCTTTTGCTTTGGTAATGCGCATGCCTCGATTTATTCCAGCTCCTGTTGAGGCGCCAAGTAATTTGAGTTTGTTTAGGGAAAAGCGAGATTTTTGGGATCTCTGCTATTATTGTGGGCCTGATAGCCACCGCCGCGGTTACTGCTTCGGTTACCGCCTCGGCCCTTGCACTTTCTGCCACTGTGCAGACAACTCAAACCATTAATGAACTATAGGCCACTGTGACCATGGTCCTAGATAAACAGGCCACTGCCAATTCTCAGATACAAGGAGGCCTGATGTTGGTAAACCAACAGATTAATTTGGTTCAGGAACAATTGGATATATTGTGGCAGATGGCCAAATTGGGATGTGAACAAAGTTGCCTGGCCTTTGTGTCACTTAGTACAATATGAGAATTTTACAAGAGCAGCTAACCTGTCAAAAGCTCTGTCTCAACATTTATTACAGAATTGGACTTTTGAGTTTGAGCAGACACTCCGTGAGTTGAGAATGGCGATCCTGCAAGTGAATTCGACGCATCTGGATCTTTCTCTGATGGAAGACCTCTCCCCCTGGATTTCATCTGCATTTTCTTATTTTAAGGAATGGGTGGGGGTAGGATCATTTAGCCTAGTTCTCTGCTGTGGAATAGTGTTGATGCTTTGGATGGTGTGTAAGCTCAGAGCCCAAACAAAGGAGAAAGTGGTGGTGGCACAAGCACTTGCTGCCTTAGAACACGGAGCATCCCCTGACATTTGGTTAACCATGTTAAAGCAATAGGTCGCTGGCCTCCCAGCTCTTGCACCCCACGAGGCTAGTCTCATTGCACGGGATAGAGTGGGTAGGCTTCAGCAGCCCAAGGAGTTGCAAGGCTAAGCACTGCACAGGAGAGGTCTGCGGTATAACGACTTTCTCCTGGGAGATAAGTCATCTTGCATGAAGGTTCTATGTCATGATCTCCTTCCCCCAGAAAAAAGACATCGGACTGGTCAGGACTTCCTCTGGGGATAAGACCCTGGAGAGGAGCTTTGTACATGTTCCGAATTTGCACATGGGGATTTGACCTCTATCTCCACTCCAAAGTTGTGGGTGTCCTATTGCTTCAAAAATAAATGAATAGGGGGAGATGTGAGGAGCCGCCCTCGCTATCGCTATTGCCGTTAGAAGATGGCGCTGACATCCACTGTCAGTTGGAGTTAACTGTCGCTGTCAGTTGGAGTTAACTGTCGCTGTCAGTTAGAGTTAACTGTCGCTGTCAGTTGGAGTTAACCGTTTAAACTGTGCCTCTCCCGTGACGTCATCTGGGGTGATGTGCAAACCACCAATCCCGGCTCTACACATCTCACTCGGAGCTCCTAGGCTTATATAAGGGGCTGGGTTTCTTAGCTTGGGGTCTCCCTCTAAGAAGCTGATCATCTATCTCTCAAGATGCATTAAAGCTTTACTGCAGAAGGATCCGAGTGTTCTGCGTCGTTCTTGCTGGCGAGACGGTAGCGCGGGACACATATGTGGGCAGAACTCTTTGGACCCAGTGAATTCTTAAAACAAAAGAAAAGGACATGAAGTTGGGAGGCAGATGCATTGGGTGGGGCCTGAGGGGAGTTGGGTAAAGGGAATAGGGGCTTGATATGATAAATATTTCATTGCACACATATATGAAATTCTCAAAGCATTAAAAGAGAAAACCATTAGACTCTGGTCACAGATTTTTCAGTTTGCAGCAGGAAGGCAAGAGATACACAGAATTTGGTTCCAGAGGGAGAGGAAGTGAGTGAAGGGGAAAGAAAAGAAGTTTGGAGATGCAGACTGGTTGCTCAGAACATTTTAAGTGAATAGATGTTCCTCCTTGCATTGCCCCTCTTGGACTTCAAGGTTCACTCACCGAGAGCTCTGCCTCATCCCCACCAGCTGCACAGCAGGGCCTCCAGTGGTGCTGTGTTCCACGGAGTCTTCCTTGGGAAACAGAGCTTGACTTTAGCCTCAAGGTCTGGGAGGAAGAGGAGTAAGGCACACCCCTACCCCAGGACGTGTTTTAAAAAAATATTATTATTATAATTTTGTTTGTTTTTTGAGACAGGGTTTCTCTGTTTAGCCTTGACTATCCTGGAACTCATTCCATAGACCAGGCTGGCCTCAAACTCAGAAATTCACCTGCCTTTGCCTCCTGAGTGCTGCAATTAAAGGCTGGGGAAGTGGCTCAACCTATAAACTTCTTGTCACACAAGCATGAGGAAGTGAGGTCAGTCTCCCAGGACTCATGTGAAAAAGACTGGTGCATGAACACATAAGCCCTGTGCTTGGAAGACAGAGACAGAAAGATCTCGGGCTGGCTAGCCTGTCAGTGCAGATGAATTAGCAATGTCCAGGTTCAGTGAGAGACCATGTCTCAAAAAATAAATGAAGAGAGACTGAGGGAGACACTTGATATTAACCTCGGCCTTGCACACATGCACACACACACACACACACACACACACACACACGAATCTCATCCTTCCATAAATTTGTTCCTTTAGTGGTGTCTCTTAGATCCTTTAAGTTTTGTTTATACATTCTTAATTTTATAGTTTGAAGGCTCTAATTCATTTGCCTTATCTTCAACTTCTCAGTCTCTCTTCAACCTCATTCATTTTATTAGTGAGATTCTGTTAAATTTCTCTTTACTAAGTCCCTCTTTATATCCTGCATTGGCTTCCTTATGCCATTTAGCTCTTTATTTATAGTCTCTTTAATTAATTCAATAATTTATAAACATCCTCTTTGATTTCCTAAACATTCTTACAGTCTTTCTTTTGACTTCTGTGTCTGGGATTTAATAACACTCATTATCAAAGTGATTGTAGAATTGGTAAGTTTGGAAGACACCTGTTGCTCCTTCCTCCGATTTCTTGTGTTTCCACATTTGTGTTCTAGAATGGAGAGGAAGGGAGTCATGAGGACCCCCCTTAACTGAAGAGCTTTTGGGAATTGTTGGCTGCTGGAGGAGACAGAGCACTGTGAGGGCACTGCCTATGAATCTTTAGTTAATAGATTTCTAGGTAGACATAAACTCACATCAGAGGAGGTACTGGTGGCCACTCATCCTGATTCCCACCTTTCCCCTTGCCTGGGAATCACAGAGCCTGGATTCAGACTTGTGCTGTGAGCAGCCCTCCTTCCTCAGAGAGAACTACCTCTTTGTAGTTGCAATAAGGGACCTGGAATCTGCAACATGGCACTAATACCCTTTTTAGAGCTACTCCCATGCTGCCTGTCTCTGGTGCTAGGGTTGGAACTCTTCTTAGAGCTCATGTGACTCTGTTTTCTGTCTGCCTGTCTGTCTGTCCATGATGTTAATACCTTTTCTAATAAACTACTTAACCCCCAGATTTGTGCCAGTGTTCCCTTAAATCTATATCTGAGACCTTTGATATATGATAATATTTATGTGTATGCATGAAACTCTCAAAGAGTAAGTAAAACAATACAAATTTTATTTCTGGAAAAAATGTAGTCACTACGTTAGATGACAGAGCATATGTTTTCTGACTTCACTGAATTGCTGTTTATGGGGGTCCTGCTATGGTCCCTTCTCCAAGAAGCATCATCTTTCTGAGGAGTTTCCCCAAAGCCTTCTGCATGTCCTTGTTCCTCAGGCTATAGATGAAGGGGTTCAGCATGGGAGTGACCACGGTGTACATCAACGAGGCAATCAGATTCATTCTAGAAGATGGCATGGCTGCTGAGCTGAGGTAGACCCCCAAGACCATTGCTATAGAACAAGAAGACCACCAAGAGGTGAGACCCACAGGTGGAAAAGGCTTTGTACTTGCCCCCAGCTGAGGGAATTCTTAGGATGGAGGAGAAAATCTGATAATAGGACAATAGAATCCCAGAGAAGGGAAAACCAGCTATGGCTATAGTTATAGAATATACTACAATGTTATTGACAAGGGTGTCAGAACATGCTAGCTTCAGGACTTCAGGAAGATCACAGAAAAAGTGTGGGATTTCCATGTTTATACAGAAAGACAGCCTTAACACAGTCAGGGTCTCAGGAAGGGAACTCATGACACTGATTAACCAGGACCCAAGAGCCAGCTTCCCACAGAAGCAGGAATTCATGATGACCACATAATGCAGGGGATGGCAGATGGCCACAAATCGGTCATAGGCCATCACAGTCAGGAGTAAATTATCCAGACAGCCAAACACAATGAAAAAAAATATCTGCGTGATGCAGCCTGGGAAGGAGATGAGCTTGCTTTGCGTGTGGATATTCAGCAGAGTCTTTGGGATGGTGGTGGAGGTGAAGCCGATGTCGGCTAAGGACAGGTTGGAGAGAAAGAAGTACATGGGCGTGTGCAGGTGAGGGTCTGATATAATGGCCAAGATGATGAGCAGGTTGCCTGTGATGGTGACAAGGTACATGGACAGGAGCAACCCAAAGAAGAAGGACTGCAGGCCAGAGTCTTCTGTAAATCCCAGGAGGAGAAAGTTTCTGCATCCTGTTTGGTTTTCTTTCTCCATAGGACGGCTGGCATTATCTATAAGAAGGGGAAAACACAACACAAATTTATCTTAAGTGGACTCTGTCAAATAATGTCAATATTTGACATTTATTAAATTTATTAAATTTATTAAAACCCAAGGTATTAGCTGAGTGTTGTGGCACATGCCTTTAACGGTGGCACTTGGAAGCCAGAGGCATGAGAATATTTGTGAGTTCAAGGTCAGCCTGGTCTCTACAGAGAGTTCTAGGCTGCCCTAGCAGTAGCTCTCAAGCCCTGTCTCTGGTGCTTAGCTGGCTTTTGGGAACCTGTTACCCATGCTGGATTACCTCAATTAGCCTCCATGTAGGAGGAGGAACTTGGCCCTACCTCAATCTGATGTGCCCTGCTTTGTTCAAGCCCATGGGAGGCCTGCCCCTTTCTGAATGGAAGAGAGGAGTGCATGCGGAGGGGATACTTGAGGGAGGGAACAGGAGAGGAGGGAAACTGTGGTCGATACGTAAAATAAGTAAAAAGGTTAGTAAATAAAATAAAACCAAACCCCAAAACAAAACAAACATGCCGCTTCTCTTTAGAAACAAAACAAAAGACAACCAAAACCCCTAAGGTCCTATGCTGGTGAGATGACTCAGTGTGCAAAGGCGCTTTCTATCAAGACTGAGGGCCTGACTCTGACTTCTGGTATGTGCACGGTGTAAGGGGAGCCTCAAATCCTCCAAGTCGTCATCCAACCTCTACACATGCGCAGCGGCATGTGTGTGCATTTACATACACAGAATATATAAATAAGTGCAGGGGCTGGAGAGGTGGCTCAGCATTAATGGCTCATACTAATCTTGCAGAGGACCTGGATTTAGTTCCCTGGATCTAGGTGGAGCAGCTCAAAACCACCAGTTTTAAGATCTGATAGCCTCTTCTGGTCTCAGCCAGCACCTGCACTCTTGTACACACACACACACACACATACACACACACACACACACACACACACACTCAATATATGCATAATAATAGCTATAAGGAATCTTCAAATTAAATATAATAAAAACTTCAACCAACCAACCAAATAAACAAACAAACAAAATTCATAAGGGTACTGTGGCAGAAACTTTATTGTTACCATTCTCACCAAAAAAAGTTGTCTGTAGACCAGTGGTTCTCCATGTTGTTCTCTGGAACAGCAACTTCAACATCACTCTGACAGTTGTGAGAAATGGGCATTTGGAAACCTTTCCTTCCAACTGAGTCCTATGCATTTTGTGGAACTAGTGATCTGATTTGTGTTTTACCAAACTCTCCTAGGGATTCTGATGTCCCCATGGATAGGAAGACAACAGATATGGTGTCCGTAAGCAACCATACCTCATCAGCATCCCTGATGGCAACTTTGATGTGTTTTGTCTAATGAATGTGTGAATGGGAATTTCCTGAGTATATACTGATATGTGAATTTTAAATTATTAGACAACTTTTTTTCCATTGTGGTGTTTTCTCTGTCCGTAATTTGTACATGTTACATATTCTGGTCCATTTGTGAGCCTGATCACAGTTTTTTTTCTTTAAACAATTATTTTTCATTTTACAAAGCAACTCCAGTTCCTTCTCCCCCACTTCTTCTGCCCCTCCCAACTCCACCACCCTACCCTCCCTCTCCCCACCCACATCCATTCCTCAGAGGGGGGTAAGACTTTCCTTGGGGAGTCAACAAAGTCTGGCATACCAAGTTGAGGCAGGACCAAGCCCCTCCTCCCTTCATCAAGGCTGAGCAAGTATCCCCCATAGGGAATAGGCTCCAAAAAAGCCAGTTCATGCACCTGGGATAGGTCCTGGTGCCACTTCCAGGGATTTCCTGCAACAGATCAAGTCACATAGCTGTCACCCACATTTAGAGGGTTTAGTTCCATCCCATCAGGTTCCCCAGCTGTCAGTCCATAGTCTGTGAGCTCCCACTAGCTCGGGCCAGCCGTCTCTGTGGTTTTCCCCATCATGATCCTGAATTCCCTTGTTCATATGATCCAGGAGCTCATCCCAGCACTTGGCAGCATCTGCTTCCATCAATTACTAGATGTAGGTTCGATGATGACAGTTCGGGTAGTAACTAAGCTGATTAAAGGGAGGGCCTGTTCACACACCCTCTCCACTGTTGCTAGGAATCTTAGCTGGAGTCATCCTTTTGGATTCCTGAGCATTTCTCTAGCACCAGGTTTCTCCTTAACCTCACAATGGCCCCCTCTTTCAAGATCTCTCTTTCATTGGTCTCCCTCTCCATCAGCCCCTCCCCCAACTTGGTCTTCTTGATCCCTCATGTTCCCTCCCCCATCCCCTCCATCCTACTCTTTCCTGTTTACCCAGGAGAGGGAAAATAGTTAAGATCTCCCTCTTAGGGTCCCCCCTTGTTACCTAGCTTCTCTGGAGCTGTGGATTGCAGCCTGGGTATCCTTTGCAATACATCTGATATCCACTTATGAGTGAATACTTACTGTGTTTGTCTTTCTGGGTCTGGGTTACCTCACTCAGGATGGTTTTATCTAGTTCGATCCATTTGTCTGCAAATTTTAAGATGCCATTGTTTTTAACAGCTGAGTAGTACTCCATTGTGTAAATGTGTCACATTTTCTCATCCACTCTTCAGTTGATGGGTATCTAGGTTGCCCACTTTTGCTATACAGATTCTATAAAATGTAATTTCTGAGCATGAAGAATTCAGGGTTTCTAAGTGTTAAATTCATTTTCCATTATCTGGCTATGGCTGAGGACTTTGTTTTGCTAGTGTTGGGAGGGAGCTTCTGAGCATTGTTGGTCCATCACTGAGCTGCATCCTCAGCCCTTTGGTTCTTATCATATAAAAGTGTTCTATGTGCAAGTTGTTTACTAAGTCTTTTCCATGTGGACATTTACACCAGTTTTCATTTGTCTATATTACAACTACTGCTTAGATTAATTTTAATTTTTAATTTTTTTCTTTTGGCAATTTGTGGAAGCATCCGATGAGTTCTTAAAAGTTAATATAAAACAAGCAAAAAACCCTAATAAAATAAATTTAAAAAGCATATGTACTGCTTTTCACCTTCCTATCAATAAATTACTCTAAATAATTATACACATACATTTTTTTTTGTTTTTCAAGATAGGGTTTCTCTGTATTGCTTTGGAGCCTGTTGTGGAACTCGCCTGTAGACCAGGCTGGCCTTGAACTCACAGAGATCTGCTTGCCTCTGCCTCCAGAGTGCTGGGATTAGAGGTGTGTGCCACCAATGTCAGGCCACACAAACATCTTAACAGAGAACAGATTGTCAGATATTTTTATATAATTGAGAATTTGGGGTCAGGCAGATCTGCTGCTCACTCACTCAGAGCCTGTGTTACCTTTTCCCAGGGAGCAGAGGCTGTGGTAGGGAAAACCATGGACCAGAGAAGGCAAGACTCATTTGGCAATTTTCCCCATGTCTCAGATCAGGAGTGGGTTCCAGCCCAGCCCAGTGACAGGGAAAACAGAATGTGTCAAGGGTGGTGGGCAGGTCCCTATCTAGGACTGATGTCTGGGGCACCACACTTTACAGCCCCACACTATCTGGGCTCTGCATCCTTTGGAGGGTCAGGCCGGTCACTAAGAGTTCCCGAGGCACAAGCTGGACAGTGCCAGAAAAGAAAAAGAAAGAAAAAGGATTTGGGGGGTCAGAAGGTGGCTCAGTGGCAAAGGCACCTGTTGCCAAGTGTGATGTCCTGAGTTCAAACCCTGAGACCTGAGCAGTAGGAGAGAACGAGCTCCTTCAAGTTGTTCTCTGACCTCCACACGCATGCTGTGTACTACTTGAAAAAGTCTTTAAATTTATTAGACTTCATAAAATTTATGTTAGTTATGAAAAAGTTGGTATTTTATTATTGTGTTAAAACTCTTGAAGAAACAGACAGCTCTTATAGAAATCAATATCTTTCTTAGCAAAATTTCCCGATGGTTTTTAATATACAAAATTATATTTATTACTTGTTAATAGTGTTTTAGCATAGTTCAAAGATCACATCAAGAATGATATTCCTTTATGATACACATGTACTAGTGCAATAAAACAAAATTAAATAATACTAGTAATAACAATAACCACAAAAATAAAATCTACTTGTTTTGATGAGTTATATTAGTTTGTTTCTGGACTTTCTCATTAACTTATTAGTTTTTGTTGAAATTCATCACATTCAAGGGTAGAGACACGGCTCAGCAATTAAGAGCACACACTGATCTTTCAGAGGATAGAGTTTGGTTTCCAGCCTTTTCTCACACCGTGTGTGAGTGTGTTGTGTGTGTAGGCGCCTATGTGCCATGGTGCATATGTGGCTGTAAGTTTTGGCCTTACACTTCGTTGAGTCAGGGTGTGTTATTTGCTGCTGCATATACCAGGCTAGCTGAACTGCAAGCTTCTTGGGATTCTTCTGACTCTATCTCCCATCCTAGCGCAGAACACTAAATTCTAGACCACTCTATTGCATCACATGTTGTGTTATGATATTCTGAACTTAGGTTCTTATGATTATGTGGCAGGTGCTTACCAACAGAGCCATCTCTCCTGACACTGACATTTTTGATAGAGAATGAAAATAATTCAATGCCTTCAGACAAATGACACAGATGATTGAGAAAGAAGTCTTTGAGGGATGAAGAAAGCCAAGAGAAGGTTAATTTACACCAGGAAAGTGAGAGATATCTGAATTAGATTCTATAAGGAGAGGAGATGTGTCAAAGCTGAGGAGAAGAGAAATTAAGGAAGACACAGGAGCCGATGTGTGGAACACTTTAAGTGGACAGATGTTCCTCATTGCACTGCACCTTTTTGAGCCCCAGACTCCACCCATTCAGAACACTAGCTCCTTTTATACCTGTGTCCCACCAGGAACTCCAGTGGCGGTGTGCTGTCCAAATTCTCTTTTTCTCTGAATGGAAGAGGTTCAGCTAAGCTCCAAGGCAAGACAAGGAGGTGACATCAAGTGCTAACTCCCACTTGAAGGCACGGTTGAACTCACTGATTCCTTG